ATAAATCACAACTTGTTGCATCTGCTTTACTTGAAGATGAAACCAAAGATAGTTTTATTTGGACATTTTAAATGATTCATTTCGTGATGATTTATCTTGCTGTGATTCTTGATGTGCTGCTTATTTAATATAAAAGTTTGACAAATACCTATTAATTCATCATATGAATTAGTAAAAATTACTAAATCAGGAACTTTTTGCATTATGCCTTGTACACGGCCATATTTTTGGTGAGTACTATTAAATTTTTGCAATACTGGTGTATAAACATCTGAATTGAGAATATCTTTCAAATATCTAAAATTATTTATAGTATCTTGATTTTGAATATTAGCAATGTATAATAAGATAGGAGATTGTTCCCAAACTTTATTTGGATTTTCTTTGATAATATTATCTTTATACTATCATCTTGCAATAAGTCTGATATGACATATAGCTTGAGAAGAGCAATGTAAAATTTTATAAAAATGTCTACATGGATAACCATGTATTATAAGAAGATTACATGTATATATATATGAACCATCTACTGTAAATATAATATATTGTTTTTTAGTTCCACAAGACAATACTAATTTCCAAATTTCAACGATTTGTTCATATCCAACTTTTTCAACTATATTAACCAAATGAACTTTCATAAGCTCATAGTTGTTTTCACGCATTTCTTTATCATAATTCATATTTACTTGTTCCTAACAATATAAATCGGTTAGTATGATAAATATTTTTAGTTTAATAATGCATAATTCAAAGAGTTATCTGTAATATAGACTCAAGATTTGTATAGTTGATTTTAATACAATCATAAAAGAAACATTCTTGCATTTGCTCACAAACCTTAAAAACCATTGTTGGCATAAGGTATTGTGAAATAATTGTTTCAATTGAATTAAAATATGTTTTAGGCACAGTTGCAAGCCCAACTTTAGGAATTTCACTTTCATATTCTTCTATTCTTATATAATTCGATTCCTTATCAAGTACATCTTGAATTTCTTTAACTAATTCCAAAAATGACAAATTGGATCCCACACAGCTATGAATTTTATGATTCAGGCTTTCTACATGCTGTGTACTATTCGCATCTGTAGTAAATTGGTTATTGATATTGCACACAGCCCACTTTGTCTTGGTTGGATCTAATTGATGCTTTATATAACTACTTGCTGAAGTATACTTTAACTTCAAAGCTTCCCAATGACTTTCAAATAAATCTTCAACCATAGTATTTCTACATTTAAAAAAGTTCTTACAAAACTCCCAAAATTCATCTGAATTAAGCTTATTTCGAAGATTCTTTTTTAAATTGAGATCAATATGAAATAAGTATAAACAATGAACTGAACTTGAAAATTCTGAATGTATTGCACTAGCTATTCTGGGATCGGAATCTGTAAATATTACTTGCAGCATTAAATTATTCATACACTTATTAATCATTTAAAATGTCCAAATAAAACTATCTTTGGTTTCATCTTCAAGTAAAGCAGATGCAACAAGTTGTGATTTAT